AAAAGCCAAACATAGATTTTACAAAAGTTACCTAATTTCTCCGGTAAATTTTTTTCCTACCAAACAACTTTTTTTACATTTTTCTACTAAACTCATTTCCCAACCATTTCCCTACTAATCACATTTTCCTATAATTCATAAAAATTTATCCTCAACCAAACACCCCTTTAAAGAAAATATAAGAAAACAACAATCCTTTTCAAGTAATGATCAAGAGCAAGTCCACCAATAAAACAAAAAATCAGGAGCAAGCGCTCTTTGTAGTTTTTTTTTTGTGTGTTTATAATTGTTAAAAAAAACTTGTGTTAGGTTATATTAATTGGGAATGATCCATTTACAATTTTTTTTAATTTATAAATTTTTTGTAAATTATATCATGTACACCAGAAGTATATTCGGAAGTACATAGTGTAACCTAGTGTACTTCTGGGAGCACATAGTATAATTTGTAAAAGTTTATAAACAAAAAATTTGTAAATATAACATTTTTCTATATTAATAGCTAATTTTACATTTATTTTTAATAATATAAGTTAATGGGATAGATTATAAATAATTAGTATGAACAAATATATAAGCCACCAGGACTGGTCTGATTGTAAGGGATTTGAATAGGTTATAAAAAGTTATGTGTTCAATTCTCACTTGTATGAAGAAGAAAAAAAAAAGAACAAATATGTTATATATAAAGAACAGATGTGATACAAGAATATTAAGCTTGACATTATATTATGAAAGTTTTGTGTTGGACGGTCAGTTATATGTCCAACTATTGTTGAGTGTTCAATGTTAATGAAGCAAGTAATGAGAAGGTTCAGTAATAAGTCGCTTCTCTAACCTAAATTCATATACACAATTAGAACAGACATATTTATATTTAAAAAAAAAGAGATATATTTATTTGACATGTCATTTTGTTTTCTTTAATTGTTTAATCAAATAACTATTATAAAAAGTTGCATATAAACAAAGGCGAATCGAAGGGAGGGATGTGTATGGGCGAGGGTGATTGCCCGCCCTAATTTTGAAATTTTTAATTTTATATCTAAAAATATTATTTTTATAATAATAATGAACTATTAAGATTAATAAGTAGCTCGTCCTTTAAAAGTACTTATAATTTGTATTATTTTATTAGTTTTAATAACACTTATAATTTTAATATTTTATTTTCATTCCCATTATAAAAAAATTTAGATCCACTGCTGCATATAAAGAGGAAGACTTTATATGCAATCGTGCACCACACCATAGCACAAACAGGTATCTCTATATTTATTATTCATGATGAAATGGTGTTATGAAAAATGCGGGAAATAAAAATTTTCGGAAAATTTTATAATGATGCATAACAGCCTAGAACTGTCGCTTAAGGTAAGCACGTTTTTCTTATTTTCAATAAAATGTTTCAATTAGGAGTGTTCATCAACCGATCCAAACTGATTCAAATCGGGGTGGCCGAACCAAAAATTCAATAACCGAACAAATCGAAAATTAAAAAATTGCAAACTGAAAAAAAAACCGCAACTTTTAATTGGATTGGATCGGTTTTCGGATTGCTTAATGAAAACTAATCCAATCTAAACCGATCAAATATATTAATTTTTCTCTACTTACTTTGGTCTTTCTCCAATCACAATCCAAAAATTTATAAACTCAAGACCCATTAACCCATCAACTAAACCTAAAAAAAAATCTAGTCACATCTCATCAACAAAGTTTCATCTGCGTAGAGCTTCATATCTCATTGTTCCCAAAAAAAGAAACTATATTATCGTTTACTGATGCTTTTGTATTTCAAATTTTTTTTTTACAATGCCAATATATATACAAAAGATGTTAATGCATGAAATAAATTTTAGGATTTTCAAAAAACCAAAAACCGATGCAATCCAAACCGAAAAAAATTGGATTGGATCGGATCAGATTTGAAAAAAAGTCCAAACCGAATGGATGATTACATGATCAAACCGAAGGGATTAGATCGGATGATTTTTGTTTTCAAAATCGATCCAATCCAGACTGCGAACACCTCTAGTTTCAATATATAAAATGGAAGGGTAGAGATTCTCTGACACTGTGTGTGCACAATTGTGCTCATAAGTGGGTTATGTCACAAAATAAAAGCATAAATGTGTAAAAACTGAAATGAGACCAATAAGAATTACATAATAAAAATTGTATAAAAATGAAAGAATACGAATGTAGGGGTGTATATATATGCATAATTACATTATTGCATATTTAAAATGGAAGATGTTAACTTCTTAAAAAAAAAAAAAAATGGATTCTTTCATTGAATTTTCGTTGGAGTGGATGGATATTATTAGATTGGTTTCTGTCGATCATTCTAGGTAAGGACTTTTCTGGTCCAGTTTACCAAAAAAAGAAGAAGGACTTTTCTGGTCCGTTTGTATTTATTTATATATATCTGGGAGGATCGCAAGGACGGGTTTGAACTGGTGACCCATATAAAACAAAAAATTTATTGGGGGAAATTTGAGAATGACATAAAACAACGCATTATTATATTTCTTTTGTACTATGAATGGAGCGGAAATTTTTTTAACGGTGTACTGAAATCGGTACATCTATTTATTAAAAAGGATAATTTATTTATTTTAACCCTACTTTTTTTTTATATTTTCTTTGTGTTCTAAAAACTTTTCCTCATTTAATCGTGCATGTATACCCATTTTACCAAAAGTTTGTTCCAATGGAACATCCAAGAAGAGTTAGGACTGGATTTTTCTTTCATAAAAAGCAATTGTTACATGACATCACTACGGTGCATCATGTTCATGTCATATCTTGACTACTCAAATCAAAGTTGATCTGAAGTTAACTTGGCAAAAAAATTGATATAAAATATTTTTATAGTACTATTATCAATTTTCTCACCACCATATATATTATAAATCTAAAGCAACTGCAGGGCACCATGTTTATCGTAATCTCAATCTCTTCCACTTTCATGATGTAGATCAGTAAATATCCCGCCATGTAAGTTACAGGTGAAAATCGAGCTTGAATTTTAATTAGAGTAATAATTCATTTAATTTACCCGTGATCCACCCTCTTGGATCAGGTTTGAAAAGTTCTTAATTATTATTAATTTACTATAGAAAAAAAAAACGTGAGATTTTAGTCAATCTAGAAGAAGCGTGAGGGATTATTTCAGAAATTCATCTTCTAGAATATTAATTGTTATATAAATAATAATTAGTTTAAGAATTTTATGTTTTTTTTTATACACATAAAAATATGTGAGGTTATGTGAAAAGAAAAAAAATAAAAAAATATAAGTCTCGTATACTTTTATGGGAAAAATAAATCTTATGTTGTAGGAGAATTCTAATCTCATGTCATAGATACATTATATAAGTGTGAGACCCACCAATTTAAAAAAAAACTAAAAATAAAAATATGAGTGGCACACCTTTTTATGATGTGTGTAGGAATGATTTGTTTTCTCATGCAACATGAGAAAAATAAACCCGTATGAGAGATATTAAACCCTTAATTTAAATGATAAAGAGTTTCACCAAATGATGGTAGCTCAGTTGGCGCATGAGAATTGAGCAGGTGAGGATGAGAGTATGTGTTCGATCCAGTGGCGGACCTATGTGTGTGCAAGTGCACACACAAATTTTTTGGGGGGAAAAAAAAGAATAAAATATATTTTGGGTCATCAACAAAAATTACAGGACCTAATTTAATCTCTTAAAAAAAAAGTCTACTCGTGATCCCTTTAAATTCTAAAATAGACTCATATTAGTCCTTTTGAGGGATTAATGTGGATCTTTTTAAATTTCAGAGGACCATGATTTTGATTATCTGGGTTTGTTTTTGAATTCTGAGGGACCACGAGTAGACTTTTTTTCCCTAAGAGATTAAATTGAGGCCCGTAATTTTTGTTGAGGACCTAAAATGTTCTATTGTAACAGTTTAATTGACTCTTGATTACTTTTTTTATATTAAGTTAAAGTTTTTTTTTTTTGTTTATATTCTTTTGTATTTTAATATATTTAAAATTTTCTTTAATTTTTTTTTCTTTATTCTTTTATTCTAAGTGTGCAGACATTAAAAAAAATTTCTAGGTCCGCTACTAGTTCGATCCTTCTCATTATCATTTCTGAGAGGATTTAAAACTTTAATCCAGAATCTATAAACAACAAGTCCATGAAAGATACCTTTAATATATAAATAAAAAAATGATAAAAAAATTTCTTCTCCTATCCAAAGATGTCAGAGTACAAGGCATAATAATTAAAAAAATGATATTGGCACATCAGTCCTAATATTGATCCAACATAATAAAATGAGTTCAGATAAAATAAGAATAAAAATATCAACCAACGCATGGTATGACACCTAAAGATAAACAATTATTGGAAATCTAAGCACGGGTAGTAAAATTCCAAGTTGGTCAGAAATAAATTAAGTGATAATTATATAAGTAAAATAACTTATAAATATAATATATTAAGATTTTGTATTGAAATGTAATATTTGAACCCACTTCTTATAACGGATTTATCGCTTAGCTCATGATAATTTCCCTCTTCCATGCTCCCCGTTACCCAATAACAATATCTCAATTTCTCTCTATTATATAATCTTATTTGAAAGATTATAGATCAAACCGAGTCTAAACTGTAAACAGAATAATTCCAAACCAAAAAAAAAAAAAAAAACAAGACACGCCATCTACCTTCCCCAGTCCTTCCTCACCAAATCCATTTTTCCTCACCAAATCCATTCCTTTTCCTTTAGCCCTTTATAAAAATCAAAGCACAGAAATTGTCTAAATATGAAAGGTCGTCATAAAAGGGAGTTACAGAGGAACCAGGGACTCATACATCGTACTCTGTCTCTGTTGTCTACATTAAAATGAAGGCATGCTAAGCTAGCTATTGCTATCTTCATCTCATTTACAAAATACAGTTTATATCTTTCTGGCTAGTTTTCTTTTACTCGGAATGAAAATTCATATATCTATGACTTTTTTTCGAGCTATTCAGAATCAAAGCAAAGTGGTGGTGGTGGTGGTGGTTTTTGTAGCACTTTCCCTCATTAACTGCTCCTCCAGCCTCAAGGTATGTACTTAAATCATTTTTCATATAATTAGATTTACAATCAACATTCAACACAATTAACAGCAGTTTCTAATTGAATATTAATAACAGCTGGGAGAAACTTGTGGGTCTAATAGTCAATGCGACGCTGGCCTCCAATGTGAAACATGCCCTGCAAATGGGAATACCCGACCGAGATGTACAAGGATCCAACCTACGAACCCCACTTCCAAAGTTGGTATCAGTTTCCAATTTTTATGTTCAAATGATTCTCTACCCTCTCTATGTTTTAGATACATACATAGAGGTGAAAATTATAGTAAATTTAAGTTGTGTTGTGGTTGGGTTGATTCATGTGTTCTTAGGTAAAAGGTTTGGCTTTCAACCGGTATTCGTGGTTAACGAGCCATAACTCTTACGCTCAATCTGGAGTTAATTCGGACACGGGATCTATAATTATATCCCCAACAAACCAAGAAGACACGGTTGCCCATCAACTCAGTGTAAGGCTTTGCTTCTCTCTTCTTCACTAATCACCTTCATGTGCTTTTGTGATCTTTATTATTCTTTAGAATATACCTGTCCTTGTAGCTATATTCACAACTAGCTGCAAATACTATTGTTAAAGCACGGGAATCTGACAATCGAGCACAAAGACAAGTGCATTAGTTTCAACACGTTTTATATTTCTCCATTTTCTCTATCTCTTACGTGTTTTAAAAGACTTTTATTTATGAATTTTTTTTTATTTTTTTGCAAAAAATAATAATTTCTGTCACACTAACATAAATTATGAGTGGATCCCATTACAAAGAGAAGAAATATAAAAAATTAGTAGAATTTACTCACTTTTATGTAAATGTGACAGATAATTTTTTTCTACGGTGAAAGCATAAACATTATACCCTTTATTCATTTATCTCTTTAATTACCTAAAACTTTCTACTGTTTATACTTGAATATTTATATTTTAAATTTCTGATATTTGTTTATTTTAAAATTTATGTTTATTGCGTACCAAAAAAAAAAATTATGTTTATTGATATTAATCAATTTTTTATTCATATAATCATATTTTCTTTTTTGTTCATTTATATAATTAATAATTTTATAATTTATTTTGATCATTTTCCATTTTTTTATTTTATGTTTTATATTCTAATTATTAATAATAAAAAATAATAAGTAATAAGATATTAAATTAAAATATAAAGACCAACTACTCATAAAAAATTAATGCCGTTTATTTTTTATGAATAGAAGCTATAAGGATAAAAAATCAAATAACTAAAAAAGAGATTTGATTTTTAATGGTAGGGCTAAAAATCAATAAGTGAAAATATATGAAGTAAAATAATTGGGTGTTTTATCTCTAATACAAACATTCTTTCAAGGGAAAAATTGTGAAAAAGAAAAAATTCCGCTAAAGATGGGAGAGAGATGTTATGAATGTCCATGTTGGACAATAAAAATGTTCCGCTTTAGTGAGTGAACCACTTAGTTGACAAGTACAAACATGAACAAGTTAATTTATCACCCCTTGCAGTCAATTTTTCTTTCACAAAATGATATTGAATTTTAATGTGTTTTCTTATTTCTTGATGAGTTGGATTAGAGGCGATGTAAATGCAGTATGATCATCATAGAAAACAAGTTCTGTAGTGCTCTGCCAATAATTTGTATTATGCTCTGTAGAAGAATGAGTCACAATTGATTGTTTCTTAGATTTTCGCAATATCAAGGAATTTTCAAAAAATAAAAATAAAAATAAAAATGAGGTTGATCTTTTAATGTCAACACAGGTTACTTAATCAACATCAGCATATGGTTGAAGGATTAAGCTAGCATGTTAGGAGAAAATAATGCCTCGGTTAGGTATGCTTTTAAAGTATCTTAAGATGTGGTGCATTGCATCAAGATGTGGAACACTATGCTTTTAATGAGTTTGTTGATAGTGTAAGTCTTCCAATCAACCTCATTAAGAGTAAACTTGAAGCAAGTAACCCTCACAATTATTAAGCTTTAGATTTGGATCCATAAGAAAAGGACCACGTTTGCACCCCAGAAATGATGTGTCTTCTAGCAGGGACAAGGTATATTTCCTCTAAGAGAGGAATATGCCATGCTTGGAATATGCAATTTCCAAGCCAGTCTTTCAGATTGAACTGAGATTGTAGATAGGACTTGTGCAATGATGACATTGCTTTGAGCCTGCAATTATGATATCATTATCATTCACCAGTAGGGCACCAACCCTTGACAGCTGTCTAGGATAGTAAAACTCTGACTTTGGTTAAACCTTGCCACATGTGAAATAGTTTTAATGAAATATAGCCCTGTTTGCTGGTATAACCTTATAGCAAACTGGGAGGGCTTTATACCTCTCCAATGTTCAATCATGTTGTACTTGATTTTATAAACACATCAACTTCCTATGTGATATATATATGTATGTTTTATTTAGGAGAATATGAAACATATATTTTGTTACTTCCCCACTTTTTGTTCATTCTCATTGCATCATATACAGAATGGCGTTCGAGGCCTCATGTTGGATATGTATGACTTTGAAAACGATATCTGGTTATGTCACTCCTTCCAAGGCAAATGTTATAATGCCACTTCATTTGTAAGTTCAAAGGGTTACCTATCTTCTAAATTCGTAACTTTTTAATTTGTGACCAATCCAACAAGTTCTGATTCTTTCTGTCACTCACACCCCATGCAATTAGAAACCTGCTATAAACGTGCTTAAAGACATCCAATCATTTCTGGAATCAAATTCATCAGAAATTGTCACCATCTTCATTGAAGACTACGTGACATCACCCCAAGGACTTACCAAGGTGTTTAATGCTTCTGGGTTGAACAAGTACTTGTTCCCAGTGTCTAGCATGCCTAAAAATGGTGAAGATTGGCCAACCGTTGATGACATGGTTCAGAAGAATCAACGGTTGATCGTTTTCACATCCGAATCTTCTAAAGAAGCTTCTGAGGGAATTGCTTACCAATGGAACTACGTGGTAGAAAACCAATGTAAGTGTTACACCATTTTAATATTAATAAGTACCAACATGTTATTACATGAAATTTAATTAAAAATTTCAGATGGAGATGAAGGAATGAAAGCTGGTTCTTGTCCAAACCGTGCAGAATCTTCAGCTATGAACACGAAATCAAGGTCACTGGTTCTTGTGAACTATTTTCGTACTGATCCTAATGCAAGCATGGTTTGTGCTGACAATTCGGCTCCATTAGTTAGCATGATGAACACTTGCCATAATGCTTCCGGTAACCGGTGGCCAAATTTCATTGCTGTTGATTTTTACCAGGTATTTATTTTACTTGTCTGCATTTCAGTGATTCTAATTTCTACCAATCTAATTACTTGCATAAACAAAATGTGAATTTGAATTTTTCTCTAGTATTTAAAAACATAAATATACAATCTAGGGAGAATGGAGGATATAATATAAGTGTGGACCTATGCATATATTTCAAAATATGACACCAGTAATGCTCTGTTTATTAAAAAATAAAAATAATAATCCAAATCTCATAAACATAAAACATACTTATATACATTTGCTAATCAATATTGGATGATGTATTTTTGTTGTAGAGGAGTGATGGCGGAGGAGCTCCAGAAGCTGTTGATGAAGCAAATGGCCATTTGACTTGCGGATGTGACAACATTGCCTATTGCAAGGTTTCCAACTTGCCTCTTTCTACCTTTTTTTAGCCCTTGTTACAATAATGAGTCACTTATGTTAAGTTCATTAATTATTTCATACCAAAAATTTATTTGAAAGTTTGATTTCTATTGATAATTTTTCATATTAATAGATTTTTATTACCATAAAAAATCAGTGTTTGTATCTTCTAAAATTTAGAAATATTAATAAAATTAGTTACAACTAAATAAAGAAATGATACTAGATGCTTACCAAAAAAAAACAAAAGAAAAAGAAATGATAATAGATGTAAACAAAATTTAAGAATCCAAATATATATATATATATATATATATATATATATATATATATATATATATATTTCTTTGGGCTTACTTTACTTGTCTAATTATGATGGATTATGTGACGGCTTGTTCTTACAAAAGAAACTGTCTACAAATCTTTACCATTTGTCTATAAATATATATATGCAGGCAAATGCCACATACGGAACATGCGATGTGCCTCCCATTTCTCCACCACCACCTGCGGCTGATACCACCACCACCACCGGAGAAAACCAGCCGTCGCAAAGCAATGCTTATATGGAGACATCTGCCAAGATGCTTCAATCATTTGGGATAATTTTGGGAATGACCACTTTCCTGACTTGGTTATAGAACCTTTACAATATATCTATATATATTTCGCAGGGCTTCATTCTTTTAACCATATAAATATGTGCATGTGGACTCTTGTAAATTAAATAAGGGAAATTTTTTCTTACGTTGACGTAGATAAGTTATATGTTAGTGAAAAAAAATAATGAGAGGAACTCACAGATGATTGGAAAGAGAAAAAATAAAGGTGAGATCCACTTTTATTATGTGTAGAAAAATAGATTATTTCATGTTAAATGAGATAAATATAATCCATTAAATAAAGCCTCGTTTTGCTTCAGAGGATAATATGAATTTCTTTTACTAAAACGTATTTTTCATTTACCACACTGTTTGACTTAGCATGGGGGATTTTTTGTTTTAGTCCACGAGATATATTTATAGGTTTGGCCTATTTTAAAATGGGTATTAATATTTTTTATGTTATAGAAAATAATTTTATCTCTTATATATACATAAATGTGTGAAGCTCATGTGAGACCGTATAAAGAAAAGAGATAGAAAAAGAAAATATGAGTCCCGCACATTTTTATGTATATGTCGTGTAGGAACTATTGGATTTATGCGAAAACGATTTAGGACCTAGTACATTGGTATGCTAACAGAATCATCATTGTTTCATAATTACCTCTTGGTGCGCAAATCTCGTGTAGAATCTTCCCTTGTATGATTCCTTTTCACGAACTGCTCACCTCAGCATCGCAGCACGAACAACTTCCTTGTAGCTGGACTGTGGCAGATCTTCCAGACTATGTCTCAAGGGGAAATGAGAAGTGTGTGGGAACTCTCTCAACTTTCAGAGAGATGACCTTACCTCAGCCTCTGCATCATCAAGGTTGATGACTATAAGTGTAGAATATATATGGGTTCCAAGAAATCCTAACCCTAAGCAGAATGAGCTTTAGGTTTCTTGATCTCTTCTTAGACACTAGGCCCTATTGAGCTTTAGTGAAAGAGCAAAACCCAACATGTAGAAGATAAAATTATTTCATATAACATGATAAACATTAATCCCTTTAAAATGTTGATGAAAACAATATGCTTTTAACCGCAAGACCAAAAAGGTTATATTATATAATCTCGTCACAAAAAGTTTCTTTTCTTATATTCAAAATCACGTTCTCATTCCAGTGAGATGAGGTTAAAGTGAACTTAATCAATTGTAAATAAAAAATATAAAGTCAATCAAGTACTGCATATTTCTTAATTATTATTTTCCAAGTTTCATATATGATTATATACAATCATCCATGGATTGGGTTCAATAATATGCCCGCTAATTTTGAATAAGGTTGAGGAATTATTGGATCTGTTTGGATTAGATCGATTTTTACCAACCAATCCAAAAACCGGCCAAATCCAATTAAATTTTATGATTTTTATTTTGATTTTCGATTGTTCGGTTTTCAGTTTTCGATTCATTTGATTTTCGATTTTTCGATTCGGTTATCGCAGCTTGAATCGATTTAGTTCGATTGATGAAGACCCCTAAATTGAATGAACTTTAGATAATTTAGTAACAAACTACACGTATCTTCGGATAAGAATGAGTGCAAGAAATTGGAGGGTCCTTTAACCAATTACTAGTGTTACAGCTCTAGCAATATTGGTTACATTCTGCGCTTTTATTACAAGTTCGTGGAATATACACGCAATCATGCATAAAGATAAATTTACATGACTTATTGAACTCACCAAATCTTGCATATTGACTGACTATGGGTTTTTTTGGCACCAACGACGGATTAATATGCACGATTTGATGAGTTCGGATAACTATGTTTGCAAATTGCAAAGCACAAAGAAGCTTGTTGCACATGACTCATAGTTAAAGGGAATTGCTTACAAATCGCCCTTTTTCTTAATTTAATTGGCTGTTGCTTCTTTAGTTAACCTTTGTTCGGTAATTTGTATGGGTGTTCATCAAGTTGGGTTAAATGTTAAACCACAAAGCCATAAATTATGACCTAAGCCTTACCCAATCCATAAATGACGGGTTAGTTTGGGTTTGTGAGTTGATTGGGTTAAAAAAAATACTCAGCCCACAAAATTTGGATGAGGTTTTTTCTCAACTCACACAGCCCAACCCACATAACATCTTGTTCTTGTTCTTGTTCTTTTTCTTTTTCTTTTTCTTTTTTAAAGTTGACGCAAACGGTGTCGTTTCCACTCCCTAGTCCATTTTCAATCTTTCAACAATGTAGCTGTCTCCTTTTCAAAAAAAAAAAACCAGTGTAGCTGTCTGTGAAGACACTAACTTCAATTGACTATGTGATTTATCGTTTATGACATTTGGACGTGTTATTTTACCTTTTTTTTTTGGTACATTGTTATTTTACCTTTAATTCATTTTATACTTGTGTCTGTTAAAGACTTGTTAGGTTACTTTAGCTTTTTTATATTAGTGTTATCTTGCATATGTTTAGGATCATATAGGAATTATTTTTTAAAATTCTTCTGTAGAAACTTCACCATTAGCTAGAATTTAACATCATTTCAGTGCATTTGTATTGTGATTTCTTTTAGAGCACACATCAGTAGACTTTCAGCTTTATTTGTTTATTTTCCCTCATTTTATTCCATTTTATTTTGAAGGTAACTTACGGAAGTGTTGGAAGGGAGAAGATTCTGAAGTTCAAGCAACATTGATTTTGGTTCCGGAGTTACTCCTCGGATCATGTCTTGCATTGCTGGTTAGCTTCTTTGTAATACATTGTTGTGTGCATGTGACTTATTTTTTATTTTGGATTGCTCCACCGGTTCATCAATTATTCGACTAATTTGGTTCGAGTTAGGTGGGATCACAAGGGTGACAAAGCTCTTCCAATCAATTTTTTTTAACACAGCTGAACTTATTAAAAGTGATAGAATATATATATTCAGAAATCATGCTAAGCAGGAATTCTGGCTTTTATTTCTTAATTAGTAACTTTTCTATTTTGGTTCTTCCAGGTTAATTTCACATTAACTCAGCTAGCATAATCTCAGCCAAATATGGTACAAGGCTGATGGTTGATCCGCCAGTGGCAACGGCACAAAAGATCAGGGACCGTTGTGCTTATGGGTTAGTGAAGCTGCAGGATCACCTTATTGCAATTGGATTTACAAATTTAATGCCAAATTTTGCTTGAAATAGTCCAGCCATTTATATTCACACTGGTAAGGAGCATCTATAAATTATTATAGATTGATTTTGTCAATCTTGTCTTCATCAAGATAGTCAAGTTTGAATGAGTATAAAGTTGATGGTTAACACTTCTTAGCGATAATATACCTCTCCAGTAGATTTAAGTTGCAGTAATTAATCATCTTAGCTACTTCCACTGCATCTACGACTTGCTACAATGCGCTTCCAGATATTTTCCACAGAATTATGTTTTGCTAATCCATGAGTTTAGAGTTCATAAATTTCAAGATTATTTTGGTTACCCTAGACTCGTCTTTGGTGTGTATGTGTTGTGGGCTATTTTACTTGAACATGATTTAAACATAACCATTTGCCCATCACTAGTAACTTTCAGAACATATTTTTCACCCGTGAATTCAGTACACAGAATGCCTTCAACATAAAAAAAGCATTAACATTGATACATCTGTTGTATACACGCATCAAAGAAGTTCGGCTATATAATTAAAGATTAGATAGCAATGTGATCAAGGGCAAATATGGATTATTTGCACATAGGTCTCAAAAGAATAATAATGGTTCCTCCAACTGAAATATACAGAATCATATAATTTGAAAACAGTCAGAACACATTGAATACATCTATATTGTATGAAAGAAATTTCTATCGACATCTTCTTTTTGCCCTGATTATTGACTTCTGAAGGCATGCCATTTTATTTGCCGTATTATTACTGCAGCTCCCCAACTGGTGCCTCATTGAGCCACAAGAAATGAATGAATTCATATAATTTTGCACTTACACTAACCTGCTCATAATTCGAAGAAAAAATATTCAAAATCATTCAAGAAGAAAAAAATAGCATAATTGAGAGCAAAGTATAACTCCGTGACCTTATATGGAGTTGGGTTAAGTTTCCTCATGTGGTCAGGTCGCATTTGCATAAGTTGCTTGATGCATCGCTCTCTAATGTCCCTTAAGGGTGGTAAAATTTCTCTCTTTTTATCTTCAAAAAGGAATAAGCAAGTTACTAAAGAAGAGTAAAAACTGACAGTCATAAGCTGCATTCACTGAATATATGAATGCTGGTAAACTGCTTTATAGTTATACACTGCAGTGTTCCAAAGCGCAACTTCGACTATCTGATGACATATAATATAACCATTTCATGCAGGAATTCATAAAGTGATACACTCAACAACCATAGCATTTACAGATGAGATTATATCTTCTTTTTATTAGTTTAAGGGGTAGGGGTTAGTATATCAGGTTCAAAAACTACAACAAAATTATAGTAGTTGGTTAATAATGAATCATGTGATGCCCTTAAAAAGATGCAGCAGTTTCCTCTTCCCTAAGCAAACAATGTAGGTTTTAATGCTTTCAATAAGCTACTATTGATCTCCATGATTGTCAATATTCTCTTAGTAGTTAGTTCTCACCTGAATTCCCAGGCCAGTAACACCTTAGAAGCTCCTCAACATGCTGTGGCACCACATATGCTCTCTTGGATTCTTGGAAGGGATGACGGCACAGAATTCTTTCTCCCACCTATGAATAAAAGATGAGAAAATAATTTTTATGCCTATTTGTAAACTACACGGAAACAACTCTTTTGGAGGCAAAGATTGACAAGCCAAGAGGCTGGAAACTTGACGTAGTAAGAGCAACAAGATGAGAGAAAAATTAAAAGCTGTCTGTTCATTATTTGGATTTATTTTATGAAACAGAGTAAGGAATAGCAATTGAATATGGCCTAACTTTTGAGAATAGCAAATATTAGGGTTCTATTAATAGTTGCATCTACATTACTCGGTGCAAATATGGTTTTTCTTCATCCAGCCCACCCTCAAGGAAACCGATATGAATACGTTGAAGGCAGCTCGTGAGTGTGCATGGGAATACTTACTTCAATTCTTAGTGACTACAAATAAAAAATTACATGTTTCAACCAAAGCATGACAGTTTTTCCTTACTTTCTTCTAATCCTACTCCAAGGTTAGAGTCCATAAAAAACCCATCATCTTGAATTCCCAACTTGGCATGCTAGTGAAAATAAACAAAATAGCACTTACCAAGGGGCAAGAGGGTGCAAACATTGAAAAAAAGATGAAGATAGATATAGTGTCATACACAATTCAAAACAATACCTTTGGAGAGGGTTCATTTTCCCCAGTCATTATGTCTACCAGGGGATAACCTTCTTTGCCATACAACCTATAACATCGCTTCTTACATGGAATAGAGACCTAAATACAGAGAAAGGAACAAAGGGGGGAAAAAAATAATTAAATGCCATATAGACGATTGCATTATCATGTCTTGTTTAGAATGTTCAAACCTTTGACACATCTTCAGAAAGTTTGATACGAGGCTGGTTATTTATCTCAACCAGCTTGAAAACAACACCTAAAGCAGCTTGAGCATAACATGTGACTAGGTATGTACCAATTCCAAAGGCATCAACCTCATGACCCTGTAGGGAAATGCAATCCAATCAAAAGAGTAGGACTAGAAATAATGTCTTTGTAAATTTTACCTTTCTGTCAAAACCAACATAAATGAAGCCATGCTGTTTTCATTTCAACCTCTACATATGCACGCAAAAGAAGACTAAATAATCTACAGTGTGTGGAAGGGATTCCAACATGATATGGATAAGTGCTGAGACAAGGAGAAAATAATTTAAAAGAAAAATCTATAAATATTCTGTTCCATAAGTTAGCAGTACCACATTTGGATTGTTCACCGTCACCTTTTATGCCACTAAGCTCCCCTGGAAGACATTATAGATCTTTTGATTTGAGCTTGGCTCTAAGCTCAATTCTGATTACACTTCAACCAATTTAGTCATTTGCAGATGAAAGACAGGCATGGAAGCAGATGTATCGCAATGAGGGAGGCAGATGAGATAATTTACAAGGATCCTAACACCTAAGCTCTGCCAGTAGCCAAATCAATCCTTGTTGGATGAGCTTGGAGCTAAGACTCGAACCTCAGATCCCTCCTTAAATTCAATTTCATTTTTCTTAAAACCTTAAATCAATTACAAATTATTTGCCTATGCAGTCAATCTCAGGGACGGCTATCCCTTCAATAAACCATTTTAAGCACCAAACCTCCTTAATGATTAATGTATCATCACAGGAAACTGTGTTACATGTATATGGAAAATTACATATGCACTAAGCAGGAGTAAATGATGTACGTATGCCCCACAAAACTGCAATATTGGAGGCAACACACCAAAAATATCACAGACCTCAGTGGTACACAAATCTGTGAACTAACAGTTTATTTTTCCTGCATTTAATGTACACTGGTGTTTTGACGTGCACTTATGTGTGTCAATTTAATAAAATTTAAAATTTAACATTACTAATAACTACATAATAACATAAGTACCCAATTGTCTATCAATTTTGTTTATCTTATTATTATTTATAGGGGGAAAAATATCACAATAACTACCCAACCAAATGAATATGTAAGAAATCAACAATTAAAATTTGTGCAAAGTTTGAACCAACAAATCATATCAATAATTTCTATAAAAGAAATTTTATGTGATACGGAAATTACACAATGTGCATACATACATATGCAAAGTAGCAAACACAGACACTGCTCAATTGTTAGGGTGATTGTGAATCAATAAGCGAGAAGCTTCAAGTTCCAGTTTGCAAAGAATAATACCTGTTTGTTTAAAGCATCTAATGTGTCCTCATTGATGTCATTACTAGCAGTGATTGTCAACTTCCCAAATTCAGGCACTTTGAATTCTTTCTCAATAGAGCAGAAGAACTTCCTGGCCTCACAAGACAAATATGCAAGGTCACCAGAGTCCAATCTAATGCCAACTGCTTTGTATCTGCACAGAGCATCATCTAAGCTCAGCAACGAATGACAATTATGTGATTCTTTGGAAAGGATGCTTTTTATGTTTAGAGGAATGGCAGGATGATCTAAGAGACTACTTGAAACCAAAAGTCATTATAATTTATATCGTCATACATATAAGAACTAATAAGAGACACTACAGTCAGTTAACAATAGGCTACTGTAATCTTTGAATTGAAAATAACAAACACCATAATAAACACATAATCTAACATGGGTAAAGGCATCTCCACAGAGAAAACACTAGCAACAAAATACATGCGGACCGCATAAAGAAAACTAAGAAAATTAAAAGAATAGAGCCTTTATCTAATAACCAAGGAAGAAGTTTACAGAAGTCAGCCCATAGAAAATATATTTCCAGGAAAATTTTGCAGTAATCCTTTTAAAAAAAAAAACCAAGCAACTAGCACCCAATGAGTTCAGATACAGCATCAAGTGAACCCTACTCAACATCATTATTACATCCACACTACTAGCAGATGCTACTGCTATTAGTTCCTTGTAAAATATCTATGCAGTTACTACCACAACAGATCAATTTTCATTCATTTGCAAAAGCACATGATAGTTTTATATTGTATGTATAACACGCTCCGTCATACAAGAGCTCTTTGGGCTTGAAGCATAGATAATGCACAGGTTCACCTACCTTGTGCTAAAATTCCATAATTTATTAGAACAATAGAGGCGGTAAGGATCAAAATTTAAACCACTTAGTCATAGAGGATCTAATACCATGTCACGCAATCAAGACTCTAAAAAACACAAGCTATTGGATAAAGACACATGAATGGTTTTATATTATATCTTGAACAAGTAACAACTTTGTGTCCCTATCAACTAAAAACCAACTACGAAAACCAACACTACAAAAAAATTTCATATTCATGTAAAACCTCTAATTAAGTGATCATAATAAACATGAGATACTTCATGACATACCCTAAATCTCTGAGAGCTAATGCGACTGCACAGAAGTTAGGAATTCCACTTCTCATCACCTGTCAACAAATGCCAATATAATCATCTAAGTAATGGACGAACTAAAGTAGAAAATAAGGAAACAAAATTTACAAAAAAAAAAAATAAAAAAAATAAGGAAACAAATTATCAAAAAAAAAAAAAAAAGAGTTGGTGCAATTGCAAATTTAACATATTTTCAACGTTAGGATATAAGATGATGGAATGAATTGGCAGCAGTTCACAAAGGACATAAAGGAGGGATAAGCAAGATTTACCCACAATCATTGGATGTCACTGGTTAAAACAAAGCTAAGATTATACATGAATGATGGCTGTTTGAGAAATAGAAAGTTAATAAAAAGATACTTACATCATATGTATCTACAAGGGCAAGAAAGCCATCAGGAAATGCCAATGCATAAGATGTGAATGCTGCCAACTCGCTTAGATTGGTCTCGCCAAAGACACCATTTGACAACTGCAGAGTGGGAACAAAGATAATTAGTATATGCACTGAAAAATCCATCTTCGATTTTGTAAGAGTGCAACAGCTAAACATGACAGAATGATGGTAATCATTTCTGAACATTGGCATGAAATGATTATTCAATTTTTTTCAGAGAGGAAAGAATTAGCACACAAGATAACCACGATCTAAATACCTTTCTGCTGTTGTTTAAGGTGCTGCTTTAATCATGTTAACCCAAACTACTACTGAACTGTTATCTTATTTTCCCAGTACTCGGGGGCATATGAATATATTACAACACCATAAGGGGAAAAAATAAATAAATAAATGAAAAATACTCATTCTTGCATAGAATGTTCAGTAAAGGATCAAAACACTTCAATTCACATATTCCAATCTCATAAAATAGTATCATGTGTTGTTGTCAAACACAATTTACCGCAAAAGCCTAACGTGTTAGGATAAAGCCTATTATCATCATTAACACAGAAGGCCCTTTGGACTTCAAGCACAGACAAGGTATGAGTCCACGAAAACTTGTGCAGAATGTTCAGTAGATACTCGTTCTTGCATAAAATGTTCAGTAAAGGACCAAAACACTTCAATTCACAAATGCCGATCTCATAAAATCATATCATGTGTTATTGTCAAACACAATTACCCCAAAACCTAACGTGTTAGGATAAAGCCTATTACCATCATTATGGCAGAAGGCCCTTTGGACTTCAAGCACAAACAATGCATGAGTCCACCAAATCTTGCGCAGAAATTTTAACTTAAAAATTAAAAGAGTGGGTCAGCAAGAATTGAACTTTTGACCACTAGGTGAATGAGGCTCCTATACCATATCAAAGACAAACTAGTCTAGAAGCTTGAGCTCTTAAGGAAAGACATAGTTTGGTTTTCATTAAAAAACCCAAACACTTTATGTCCTTTTGTCCTGCCATGGCAATGCACAATCCACTCACAAAGTTGTATGCTTGGTGAGCAATGTATTGCCTAAATATGCAAGTACCAAACACCACTTGTGTAAATGATGACAGAATCAATCCCAATTAGTAGCACAAAGATTGACCAGAAATTTTTGTGAAGCTAACTTTAATAATATAAAGCAATTTTTCTTTGTCTTTGATCTTTCCTATAATAGATTACAATGCATGCATGCCACCAACTTGAAGTTTCATCTATATTTCCTTTCTCTTCTAAGTCTTCTTTTATTTATATTAAAGAAAGAACAAAACTGAGGCTTCTGGCCCTTATGACATGGCAATGTAAATAACAATAGGTAGACCATCACTGATATATGTGGTGGTATTCAAGAGCTTCCAAATGCTCTGTACTACAAACAATGAAGTTTGCATTAAAGGCACAGGTATGAACATTTAATATGCAATGGTTTCATGACTATATTGGGCTTCGGCTTTTAATATATCCATTTCAGTCTCAGGAAAAACCTAAATACAACAACTACTTTAGGGTCTTTGCAAAAAAATAAATATATAATAATAATAATAGTAAATGAAAATATAAAACTTCAAAATGCGTTATAGCATAAGGATAACACCTTATCAAATCCCCCCAAACAGACACAAACACACACACACACAGACACACACACACACAAAAAGGTAGTTAAGAACCATAACAGAAAAACAACATAAGTATGCAAATGCTTATATCATGGCACCTGTATTTTGCTCAGCCATGTTAGAACCAGACTAACAAAATCTTCACATATACTTGAACCATCTTTTCTACGAAGTGACCTGTCTGTAATCTCATCAAGACTCTGCACATCACAGGACAAACAAGGTACACATAAAAGTAAGCAAAGGAAATATAACAAAAAGTGCCTCAAATCATATAAGGTATAATAATACTTTATATGAATTTATGGGGTCTGACTGCATATTATTATGACTAGCTAATAGGGACAAAAGTTTCATTTGTTCCATCTGAATTCTAGAGATGCAGTTGTCACTCTCCAATCTTGGTCTAAGTGTATATATTTGATCTTTTCTAGTCCTAAACTTAAGTAATCTCCAAAGATGTTTATAAGTATGAATGAATTGCACAGCTTTTAGATTTTATGACTTCACATATATTATTGACAATTATACCCATCTTCCCACTAAACTGCACTCCAGTGCCTAGAACTTATTGAACTTTTTATTCCATTACAAATTTCTAGCTATCCTTGTCACACAGTGACTAGAAACAATGCCTTTAGACATTTTGTAAGGACTAAGGATAGATTTAAACAGAAATTCTTTCCTTTCAACTATATAGGGGTAATGTATTACAAATGACAAGTATTCTTATTGGAAATTCTCTTTATAAACATCAACCAAATATGTAACAAATTTTAGTGAATTGATTACACACCATGTATGAGCTAACGAAGGCATGGGAATGAGTACCACGTAGGGGTATCCCGAATAACTTTCCTGCTGCAACATTGCTGTTGGCACACATGAACAAGGAAAATTACAAAGGAGTCAAGTTATAAAAAAGCACAGGTAAGAAATTAAAAATTCACTAAACCGAAATAAAAAGTAAATCCCCCCCCCCCCCTCCAAAAAAAAAAGAAAAGCAATTTTGCTCTGATCTTTCAATTTAAGTACACTATCCTGAAAAAAAAAAAAAAAAAAAATCACTCCCCGTTAAACCCGATTAGCTAATTACACTCAAGTTGTGTAAAAGTAGAATTTACACACCATGTCACCAAAACCATGCCCTGCCATCTACATAAACAGTAAATAAAGTGTCTTTGTTGTTTTACATTATTAAAAAAATCCCCATTAGGAAAATATTTAATCAACACTAAAGATAACACTCTTCACAAGATGAGCATTGTAAAAGCTTTAGTCCACCTCAAGCAGGATATCTGCTAGAAATGTATATTGTAATGAACATTTCCTCATCCATATTATACAGTACCCAACATGTTAGAATTGAATTGTTTAATTGATAATACCTTGTTGCATCAAATCCACCAATATAACAGTACTTCGACGCTCCCACTCCACCATCAGGGCCCTACATTCAAAATCAGAATTTCTTTAGGTGAATACTAAAGAAAGTCAGTTCTTCCTAATTTATTCATCAAAAAGCATTTTAAAGACTTTGTAACCTGAGCTCTTCGTAGTCCAAACTCAAGTAGAGTTTTGGATTTTCCAGCAACATTACGATGCCTTGCAGCATTGGTAGAAACTAATGATGCATAATTAATTAGATTCACATAAGGTGTTTCCAGCAATTGAACAACCTGAACAGTATAAAAGTCAATTTAATGTAAGAAACAGGTCATCTTTGAAAGACATCAATATTAAAAGAGGATATTTAATGATGGCAAGTACTCACAGCAACTGGACCTTCAACTCTCAACAGGGGTATCTTAGGAAAAACAACCGATCCCTCAGGAATAGCATACACCTCAACATCGGAGCAGTCAATTCCTCTAAGATAGTCAAAGAATCCATCCTAGATTTAATTGATTATTATTCATAGGTCAAAATACTTGGAATGGAGAATATACTAAAAAATGACAGCAGCATTAAATTTTCCACAGAATCACAGCAAACCCAATCATCAGCCATATTACTTCACATTTACACTTGGTCCAATGCTATTTATAAAGAAACACGTAATAAATTTGTAAAAGGAAAACAAATTCCCCATGAACAACCAAGCGCCTTGACCCTATATCCACGATTTAGATTTTCTAAAGTTAATTTCAGGGATATCTAGTTGAAAGTGTTGATGATAAAGTCAAAACGCAAAAAAGAAAAAGAAAAAGCAATTATGCTGTGTGCTTAAGGAGTAAGAAAATGTACTTCCAATAAGTACACATTTCTTAGTAAGGTTGCACAATTTCAAACAATTGTAATCTCACTATCGCTAGTTTCTATCTTCAACTAAATTGCTACCATATAATTTCTGCTTTCTTTACAGCTACATCATTTCATATTTTGAAAAAAATTACAGCTTTACGCCAGAATTCTTGATAGAGAGAAACTATAATTCTTTGCCTGAGTATTAATCAGCCAATCGACAACCAAAGCGAGATGTTATAGCTATAGTGAGGATTGCAATTTGGTTTACCTCACAAGAAGCAGATAAACTTTCCCTAACAAAATCAATCTCCTCTTCAGTGAGTCTGAAATTAGCTATGAACCTTATGCATTCCTCCAAACCAGCGAAGACAGTATATTCCCCACCAAATGGATTCTTCCGAAAATACAAATCGAACCTGAAAGCAAATCACCAACCAATCTTCTCACAAACACATATCAACATGCATCTGAGCATTTAAAGAACAATCAAATTAAATCCGAAAAACATGCTTAGGATATCAAGTAATTAAAACTCCACTAACCCTAACAGAATCAAAGATGACAAATACACCCAAAGAGCTCAATTCAACAAAACACAAAACAACCACAAATTTCAGCTTCAGGTGCACTTCCTCAGCAATCAAACACCAAGCAACAAAGGAAAATGCAAAAATATGGGGAAAAAAATAATACAAAAAACGAATAACGATGATTACTGACACAGCACGTTCTTGATGCTTGCCAGCTTTCCAGTAAGCGTAAGCCATGGTGAATTGGTAGAGATCTGTGAGCAGAGGCGTAACCATCGGGTTGGTGGGTCCATCTATGGCTTCACTCGAAGGCTGGTTTCTCGGTCCGTTCTCCTTCACCTCCATTGTTTTCTTCTCTCTCTCTCTCTCTCTCTCTCTCTGTGTGTGTGTGTGTGTGTGTGACTCTGTGAGTGTTCTGTTTTTGGTCTTGGTTTTTTCTGTTTATGGTTTGAAGTTTGTGCCTGTGCAGACTCTGCCTCCCGCGCGCTCTATTTATATATAGCGAATTCTGAAGCAAGCGTGAGCGTCACGCACAATATGCACTGAACAAAAAAACAGGTCTAGTGTGAAGACCCTTTGAACTGAACTTTGAACTTTGAACTTTGAACTTTGAAGAGATGAAAAAAGAAAATGAACAAGACAAACAAAGCCAGGTTGGTTGGTCGTTCTTTCGATTAAATTTCTAGGCAAAGTGCGGTGTTTGTTGGACGAGCAGAAAGGGTTAAAAATGGTTGAAAACAAGGATATTATTATTGGGATTAACGTGTCTATTGGACATAAATTTTAGGATAAAATATAACTTAACCCCTTATATTTTTTATTGTTTCAGTTAACCTTTTGTACTTTGTAATTATATCAAATCAATATTTTTGTTAAAATTTCCACAAACGGTGTTAAACATCGTCGTATGTCTTAAGTCCCAAATCTCAAAAGTTTCTTCTCTCTTTTTCTTTGTTCTCCCAAAGTCTTTCTTATTACAATATGCTTTGGATTTTTTCTCAAAAATATTCATAGATTGGGATGATTTGGATTTGAATCTGAGAAGATTACTGTGCCTTTTTTCTTCTACATTATCCTATAGTCTCTCTTAATACGTATTAACATCTTCTACGAAGAGGCCACAATCATTGTTAGAAACCTCCTAACTGTTTATGGAGGTAAGTTTGATTACCCATTCTCTTTTCAAAAAAATATACCTGAATGTGTTTTGGATCTTTTCTAAAATATTCGTATAACGATTTTCAATATTACCAGTATGCTTGTGTCATCTAAATTGTTGTCTAAGCTCTATTCTTAATTGTTTAGAGATCTCACCCCACGTTTGGGGCACTTATTTCAGGTTCAGGTAACCCAGGGGTTGAGACCTCTAGCAGTAAAAGGCCGGAGGTTAGTTGATTGATGTTTATTTGCTTATGCTGACTATGCTCGGATGCTGGTTTATGTCTGTTGATATCATGCTAATAGCTTCATTTGAAGTTATTGTTGAGACTCTGTTGATTATGTTGTTATTTGGTGAGCATGGGGATTATACATGCCACGTTGACTTGACTTTATGTTTTTAGTTATGAGTTGTATTATTGTATCAGGATATTGTCCGGACTACATGTTGTAGACCCGTGACTTAGATACTCACTTATTTATCTATGAGATATTTCAGTTAGTTGTCTTTTACAATTTACATACAGGCGAGGTTTTTATGAAATTGATTAAGTAATTAACTTGGCTAAGTTTAATGACGTCATAATTGAAAAGAAAAAGATATTCCGCATTTTTAATTAATTGTGGCTTAATACAATGACATGTTAACAAACCGGGTATACACGGGGTGTTACATTTTATGGTATCAGAGCACTTTCTAAGGAAAAGCCTGTATGTATTGCAATAACTTAGGAAGTTTTGTTGCGAGTATTTCTTATGTGTTACCTCTGTTGGGTTTTGTTGTGATAATGCATGTGTGACCTCATTGCGTGGGCCTGATCAACTCATTCTTTGTGTAACTTGTGCAGAGTCATGGTAAATCCTAGGAGAAACCGCGAGACGAACAAGGATCAGTCGGATCTTGTCCTGACTGCATTGGCTGAGATGCAGGCGGCTAGACTAGCCGATCAGAAGGCCACTAGATTGGCCAATGTGGCAATGATGGACGCCGTTCGAGAGGCGAACCGGAAGGCCACAGAGGATGGCGAACATGACCATGATGAGGGTCATGTTGGAGGAGATGCGGGCTGGCCGCAATGAGGGTCAATTCCCACCGCCACCATCTCCACCGCTACCACCGCCGCCTCCACCTAGTCTTCAGGATGACAGCCAGAGTCTTGTTGAGGGCATTGGTCAACTCACTGGGGTGATAGAACCCTATGTGGAGCCTGCTGAAGACCGTGATGTGATTGATCGCCGGCTTAATGCTTTCCGCAAGCATAAGCCACCTTCCTTTGATGGGTCTTATGATCCTATTGCTGCGGCGAGATGGCTACAGGCGTTGGACAAGATCTTCTGGGTCATGTAGTGTACGGATCTGCAAAAGCTGATGTTCGCCACGTATATGCTGGAGGGCGATGCCCATGAGTGGTGGATGAACACATCTCATGCTTTTGAGATGCAGGGTCATGTTATGACATGGCCATTCTTCGAGGATTGCTTTCTGGGTCGGTATTTCCCTTATGATGCGCAGGAGAGGAAGCAGGGGGCGTTCGACAAGTTGGTGCAGGGCTTGTTGTCTGTGGATGAGTACCTGGCAAAGTTTAATGAGCTGGAGAAGTTTGCACACTTTTGGATGGCTATGCCTACTCCGACCTTTCTGGCTGCTAAGTTCCGTAGGGGACTAAGCGAGGAGATAGATGTTCCTCTTGCTGGAGCGGCTTCGAGAGATTTTGGGACACTGGTTCAGCAGTGTCGGGACATCAAGGATGTCTGTATTACGAGTAAGGCCAAGAGGGCCAAGATTTCTGAGGCGAAGGGAACGAGTAGTTCCACTTCCTGGAAAGACAGGAAGTTTGCTGGAAAGGGCAAAGGGAAGCAGTTTGCGGTTAGGCAGGCGCCTGGCCAATTCAAGAGGACTTCTTCGCAGCAGGGAGGTTTTGCTAGGCCTCCTTCCACTCCTAGGTGTTCGGGGTGCGGAAAGGAGCATGTAGGACATTGTGCTACGGGGAAGCTGATCTGTTTCCACTGTGGCAAGAAGGGCCACTACTCTAGAGATTGTCCGTCGTCGACGGCGAGAGCTGCTGCAGTTCAGGCAGTTCCACTACAGATTGTTCCCCTTCCAACTACTTCGGCACCGGCAGTGCCACCTACTACTGGACGTGTGTATACGTTGGATCGCCAACAGTCGAACCGAGCTCCGAACCTTGTTAGAGGTACTGTTTCCATTGGTGGATCTTTTGTTGATGCATTGTTTGACTCCAGGTCTACGCATTCCTTTATTGCTACCCCGATTGTTGTGGGGCTTGAGTTGCCCATGTCTGTGCTTTCTCCACCGTTGCGGGTGACCACCGCCACCGGAGAGAAGTGTGATTCTACCACTGTTCATTGCGATGTAGCGTTTCAGTGGGATGGCCGTGAGTTCTCGGTAGATCTGATTGGATTGCCGATGGCTAATCTGGAAATCATTCTGGGCATGGATTGGTTGTCCAAAAATATGTGATGATTGACTGTTGTGCCAAGCGAGTGGTGATGTCTCCGTGTAATTCCACAGCCAGTTCCTCGCCATATATTTCTTTGCTGCAGGCTAGGAGAGCCTGGGGCATTCAGTTATGTCATGTTGGGAGGTTTAGTGAGTGGGACACAGAAGGATATCACTGGCATTCCTGTGGTGGGGGAATTCCTCGAGGTGTTTCCTGAGTTTCCGCCACAGCGGGAGATAGAGTTCTCCATTGACTTGTTGCCTGGTGTGGGGCCTATTTCATTAGCTCCATATCGGATGTCGCCACCGAAGTTGGCGGAGCTAAAGAAGCACATTGAGGATCTTTCAGCGAAAGACTTCATTCGACCGAGTGTGTCTCCTTGGGGAGCACCGGTCATCTTTGTGAAGAAGAAAGACGGGTCTATGCGATTGTGCACCGACTACAGGAAGTTGAACAAGGTGACGATCAAGAACAAGTTTCCCCTTCCGCGTATTGATGATTTGCTGGATCAGCTCAGGGGTGCTTGTGTGTATTCGAAGATTGATCTCCGGTCCGGATAGCATCAGATTCGGGTGAAGCCGGAAGATGTCCCTAAGACCGCGTTTCGTTCGAGATATGGTCACTTTGAGTATTTGGTGATTCCTTTTGGACTCACAAATGCACCTGCGGTATTCATGGATTACATGAACCGGATTTTCCAGCAGTACCTGGATAAGTTTGTGATCGTCTTCATTGACGATATCTTGATTTACTCCAAGACGGAGGAGGAGCATGCTAAGCACTTGAGGCGTGTGTTGCAAGTGCTGAAGGAGAAAAAGCTTTACACTAAGCCTTCGAAATATGATTTTTGGCTCAAATCTGTGAAGTTTCTTGGGCATGTGATTTCTGTTGAGGGAGTTGCAGTAGATCCCAACAAGATTGAAGCTGTGTTGGATTGGGAGAGGCCCAAGACGGTTACTGAGGTGATGAGTTTCTTGGGTTTGGCAGGTTACTACCGGAGGTTCATCATGGGATTCTCCACGATGGTTCTTCCACTGACTCGCCTTACCCGGAAGAAGACTCTGTTTGTGTGGACTCACGAGTTTGAGGAATGCTTTCAGGAGTTGAAGGAGAGATTGACTACCGCACCTGTGTTGATCCTTCCTGATCCTGATGAGCAGTTTGAGCTTTACTGTGATGCTTCTGGAAAGGGGTTGGGTTGTGTTTTGATGCAGACTGGTAGAGTTGTTGCTTATGCTTTGAGACAATTGAAGCCTCATGAGGAGAACTACCCGACTCATGATTTGGAGTTGGCTGCAATTGTTTTTGCTTTCAAGATTTGGAGGCATTATCTGTTTGGTATGCAGTTTGCTGTGTTCAGTGACCACAAGAGCTTGAAGTACTTGTTTGATCAGAAGGAGCTGAACATGAGGCAAAGAAGATGGATGGAGTTTCTGAAGGACTACGACTTTGAGTTGAAGTATCATCCTGGCAAGGCCAATGTGGTAGCTGATGCTCTGAGTCGGAAATTCGTGAGTCTATCCAGTTTGTCGATAGGTGACTTTGACGTCATTAATAAGTTTCAAGATCTGACGGTGACTTCCTTGTTTGGAGGTTCACTTCTCGAGATGGAGACTGTGAGAGTCAAGAATGAGCTTATAGAGAAGATCCAAGATGCACAAATGCAGAGAGAGTTCCTGGATTACGTTAAGAACCAAGGCGACATGTCTTGGAATGAGGATGGACTTTTGCTATTCCAGAAGAGGATTGTTGTTCCTCGAGGTCCTTTGACCGAAGAGGTTATGGCAAAGGCCCATAAGGGCCAGTTCACGGTTCACCCTGGTGCTACAAAGATGTATCAAAACTTGAAGCGAAGTTTCTGGTGACCGGGTATGAAGAAGGACATAGCTTTTTATGTGTCCAAATGTTTGATTTGCAGAAGGTGAAGATAGAACACCAGAATTCGTCTGGTAAGCTTCAACCTCTTGAGATTACATAATGGAAATGGGAGAGCATTTCCATGGACTTCGTGGTGGGTTTGCCGAAGACTCAGGTTAGCT